AAATGGAGTGTGGAGGATATGTAAAGGCTTTCAGAAAATGATGAATCTGGAGCAGAGCTAAAGAGCACACCTGCTCAACCTTTATGTATAATTTTTATGCTGTTAGAACAACAAGACTAGATGCATCTACGCAGCAAAAGTTCTTTTTTAAATAAACTACATAGAAGAATTTGTTTCACCTTTCCAAACCCTTTTGATACTGTACCATGTGTATCAGATGGAACTGTACAGAAAAATGAAGTGAAGCATGTTCACAATTTTTGTAAGAAGTTATTCACCGTGGAGCAGAAGCTGCTGTGGTTTCAGTGTTTTATTAAAGAATGTTTTTGTAATGCATTGTCCCAAGAGTGTTCAGGCACCTGTAACTTGGATAGCATTTGACATTCAGTCTTTTTAGATAATTTCATACACTTACCACCCATTTTATTAGGCAACAGTAACTCAAATAACCGCTTGTTACAACCAACATATTTTGGTCCTGGACATAGAAATAGAGACATGTCCCTCATGACTCCAAAATGAAACGTAGTGCACAGCAACCAAATGCTGAAAGAGAGTGTCCACAGCTGACTGTCGATGGTATGGTATAGCTGTGAGGGTTTTGTGTACAAGATAAATGCACATTTGAGAGTTCTGTGGTGTAGCTAAAAAAAGACTGGCCTACAGAGATGTGAAAAAAGCGGCATTCAAATAAGCCATTCCTTGCCATATTAATCAGGGAGTGCATACACTGACAGGATGATGTGACTCACAGTGAGGGAATCAGGTTGGGCTCTAATATTTTTTCTAGTAATGTCCGATTCAGTCTAACATCTGTAAAAGTTTTAAGGCACTTTCCACCAGCACTATCAAAAAGAATTATGGAAGAATGATTTGTAGAATCAAGGAATCGGTGTCCTGGTTGCACATGCTAGACCAATGGCTTAATAACACAACAATGCTATTGCCTTTAATCTGTCACTATCTATGCTATTGATTATGGTGTAATTATATAAAAAAATAATTTTTTTTAAAGTGACAGTATTACTTGCAGTATACTTGCAAATTTGTCGACTGATGCTATAATTAATCTACGTTATCTATTTTTAATTTAAGTTTTAAGTTGGTCTAAGTATCTTAGCACAGCGGAACTCTAGTATCCTTAGTCGGGCGAGTAGGGGGACTTTAAAATGTGACACACTCGACCCCGTTTCATTACGGAATGTTTTTGTTGATGCACTTGGAAGAGTGAAAAGATTCAGCGGTACTGGTATGGTTTAACGGGTAATTGGCGACTAATGCAGAGAAATATTAGCCCTGAAAACTGTTTGTAAAGCCCGTCAGTCTCCTGTGCCATCGTTCTAGTTTAAAATGGCTGACTGGAGTCCGATAGCGAAGGTGTACGACCCGCTGAAAGCTGGTAGCATCGACGGCACAGACGTGGAACCCCATGATCGAGCGGTCTGGAGGGCCATGGGTGCCAGGTACAAGCCCAACAAAGGCGTCGTTGGAGACCCACTGCTCACGCTTTTTGTGTCCCGCTTGAACCCACAGACCACCGAAGATAAACTACACAAAGTGTTCTCTAAGTACGGAGACATCCAGCGGCTCCGGCTGGTCCGGGACATTGTCACGGGTTTCTCCAAAGGATATGCCTTCATTGAGTACAAAGAGGAGCGGTCTGTGGTCCGGGCCCGCCGGGACGCCAACAAGCTGGTGGTCGACCAGCATGAAGTGTTCGTGGATTTTGAGCAAGAGAGGACTCTTAAAGGATGGGTGCCGCGGCGGCTCGGCGGCGGGCTTGGAGGGAAAAAGGAATCCGGACAGCTGCGGTTCGGCGGCAGGGACAGGCCTTTCCGTAAACCCATCAATCTCGGGGTAGACCCGGTGCAGGAACGAGGTGGTGGTGGTGGAGGGAGGGAGTGGGACAGACCAAGCGGGAGAGCCAGAGAGGATCGGGACCGACACAGAACAGCAGAGTGGGGCAACAGAGGAAGGAGAGATGACCGGGACAGAGGCCGAGAGTGGGATGACCGCAGGCACGGAGACAGGAGCAGGCACCGGGACCGGAGATGAAGCATGTGGCTGCACTTCAGCGGTACTGCAAGACTGACGGATGGTTCAAAGCACAGCTGAAGGCTTTCAAAGGAGGACAGTGAATGAGTGTGTGACTTGGATAACTGTTTGTGTGAAAGGTTACTTTTTTGTATGCTAATATTCTTCAGATTGTACTGTATGGTAATCAGGACTCTGCCTGTGGCAGAGTCCTGATTCCCAGTTCTTCTCAGGGAAGTCTCAGGAATGACAAAGTAGGGTTGTTGTGTTTTGTTGGGGTTTTTTTTTTTTTTTACAACTCTTTATTCTAGCGAAAAAATTACAATACGGGTGGTGTCCAGCCAAATGAGGCGTACATCCCGGATGTCAAACATGAGCGCCAGCAGCCAGAATCACTGCTTAAGAGTCCAATTGGATTGCTTTGGGTAATCGGAACTGTACTTTTATACAGTTATTATAAATATTATTACCCCACATATACAATTCAAATTTTATTTCTTGCAATTTAAGTCCCAACAGACTTTTTTCCCCATTTACTACAGAATGTTGTTTATCATTTAGATAAACTGAGACAAACCAAACTGCATTTCTTTTTCTGATATTAAGATATTCCAGGGATTAAATGTGTAGTTAAACTTCTTTTCACTGACAGAAAGGGAAGTTTCGCTGGTCCGGCCCACTCAGTGTCAAAGGCTATATGTGACTCACAATGTAAAATGAGTTTGCAGTTTTGTTTTGTTTTTAAAAAAGCATAAGTTTAAGAGCACATTGTCAGCCCCATTTCTTTTTAAAAAAATGTAAATCAGATTATATCATAAACAATAAAATTCATCATTGTTTTGAAATCTAAGGTGTTACTGTTTGTCAAAGTGTTGCAACACGTTTAAGATTTCCCAAGTTGGGTAGTTTTCCAGTGTAGCCTCATGTGACCCCTGTTTTCAGAGTTGGTAATGATGTGTTGTGCAAGATTTATACTTGAGGGAAGAAAACTCAGTATTCAAACACATTTACTCCTTTTTCCATATACATGCAACTCAGGAATTTGAATCAAATGCTTACTCAGCTCTTACTCAGCCATCTGATCCTCGGTCCTGCCCAGTGAGGTCAATCAGCTTTCGGTTATGGGTCACTGGGTGGATTCTTAAACTGTGCACAAGTATTTCTGAAGTCATCAATATGAAAGATGACGGGAAATGAATCTCTTATTTCATTAAAAGGTAATTCTCTAATGTACCAGAAAAAAACAAGAGGCAGAACTGACTTTTATTTCCAAGTATGTTCTGAGTAGTAAGCTGTCAATTATAGTGTTATTTATACGAAGAGAAAATGAAGTTAGTGCAAACACATATACGTCAAACACACTGAAAACTGAGGCTTTTTTCCACTGGTTTGTGTTTATTACTGTTTGATTATTGGGAATACATGCTGGGACAAGACAAATTTCAAGCATTTGTTAAATATGACTTTGACATTTAATATTAATCATGCATGTATGCAAACATGCAAGATGATTTCCACTGCCGCTTAGAAGTCATGCTTAGCTGGTCTTTGCCTTCCACCGTACCCGACATTCACGATGGGCCAGCCTGGGTAAGTCTCTCTTTGGACCGTGCTGAAGTTGATCCTGTGAATCAGAAGAATCAGAGCACGCAGACACAGAGTAGCTGCTCCCTACATGAAGGACACTGTGATGATGATAAACCTGCTCTCACCTGAACGCAGGATTGATGCCAATGTTGTCAGGCTGCGGGAAAGCAGGTGTCCGCCTCCTGTGGCAGGAGGATGGGGGAGGGAAGTCTTTCTGATACTGAGACTGCATCTGGGCTGTTTCCTGTTCGTTTTTTGCTGCTGCTGACATGTGATCACGGTAGCCTTCTTGCTCATTCCCTCTCACTTCTCTGTCCTCGCGTCTGTTTCCTCTTCCTGTTTATCATGAGGATGCAGGAGGAGAATGGTGAGATTCCTGTTGTGTGTTACAGCCTGCTGAAGGGTAATCAGAACTTTGCTAAAGGCAGAATTTCATCAACAGTAATCACACTTTCCACAAATAAACTTTCTTACTTTCTTGATCATACTAAATATATTACACTATTTGCTTTTTTCATTTTAATCTTGAGAGAATAATACTTTATACATAAATGAGATGAAATGTTCTTATGGATATAAATCATTTGCTTTGGATGTCGCAGAGCTGTGTGAAGGACACGGGAACACATACACAAATAATTACTGCTGAGGGCAATCCAATCCTGTGTCTGTGAGTAAGAGTGGCAGGAATTTCACTGCACAGCAGAGAAAACAATATCACTCCTCCACATGCTCTGTGTCTATAACAGCATTTTCACATTTAACCTTATATGGTCTTTCTTATGTTCTATTTGAGGTATTAAATACTTTATTACAGTGTTTTTCAGTTTAATGGCAGTGTAGGGTTTTTTTAATCTAAGTTTTAATCACAAAATCACCTTTATAATCTCTACCATCTCTGCCTTCTCACTCATAGCACACTGCCCAAACCATTTCCAAGACACACACGTGCACTGAACAGAAAGCCACAGCCTTGCGTGCACTGTGCCATCATAAATGAGTCTTATCTTTATACAGACATGATGAGTTTACTCTCTAGGGTGAGCCAAGTCTGTTGACCTTTGCCTGGATCTTGGTCTGGGATAGGCCTGAAGCAGAAAGCCTCACGTGATGTGGTCTCCATCTTAGCAGGTGTGTCCGGGTAGAGGAGGAATCCTAAAAAGGGTGAAACGTAGACTGTTGACTCTTGTTCCCCTTTTTTAACCCACTACTTTGGAGTGATTCCAGTTAGCACAGAACATGTAGCCCAACGCTGTTCACAGTTTCTGAAATCTTTCCAGGTAGGTCTCTTTTTCACAGCTTGTTTACTTTGCATATAAATTCTATAAAATATGCTTAATGGCAGTGACAATTAATCATTCACACAGACCTGATTTTTGTGACAACAAAACAAAGTTTTATTTCTGTCTGCTTATTTAGTGATGTGCACCGAGATTAAAGCGAGATCAGAAATAATGACGGTAATTTTGAATCCTTTTGTTATTTCTTGACTAGGACATTGTTTCTATTTCTGTTTTACTCTTTTCAGTGTTTGAACTTTCTTTCATTTTTGAAAAAAACGATGCAATGTTTTACTGTATTTCTTTCTTTGATCCCACTGGGAGCCGTGAAACTAATGGAGTTATTTGTGCTAGGGGAGGGAGGGAGGGTGGTGTGGGGGGTGATGAGTGCAGTGGTGGGAACAGAGCTTTGCTGACTAATACCTCCATGTTAACCCTGGAAAGACTTGAGAACATTTCCCAGCTGTCATTTTCATCTTCGTTCCCATTTGTGAAGCCTAAGATTCACTCTGTAATTTTAACTTTCTTCACCAGATGCAGAGGGTTTTTGTTTTTGGAAATTAGTTTTGTCATGCCGCTCTCTCCCTTTTTAAAAAAAAAAAACATTCGAAAAACAAAAAGAAGCACCACGAGATTCAGAGGTTCGGTAGACCTTGTACCGAGACATACTCAGTATGTGGGTTAGGAGAACAACGGATAAAAATTGGGGGAAATTGGATAAAAGGATAAAAAAATAACACTCACATACTGAAAATGCACAACATAGTGGTAAAAGTCTCAGACAAATAGGGTTTAAAATGACGTCTTCCGCCAACACCTAAGATTATTGTTGTCATATATTATAGTAAGTGATTTGCAAGCTTGTGAGGAATTTACAATAAACAAAAAAATACCTTAAAAAGGATTGCATCACTTAAGAGTTTTTCCATAAATATAAGACTACCTGCTGAAAAGTGCAGGCTCAAACAAGCCCTCTAATGTGAAAAAAGTAATGCTGGATTCATGTCAAAGACGCAGGGAACATTGCTGAGTTCTAGCCAAATGCCCCAGGGTAACTACTGAATGGGAAACTTGTCATTTTCTCTTCCCCCCTTCTTTTTTTCCATTCCTTTCTTGGCTTGGTGTGTCACTTAACACTGCTGTGGTCAAATTTATTTTGCCATCATCACACTTGGTACTGTGCAGCCACCCTTGCAAGACATTTAAACGCATTAACTTTGGAAACAAGGCTTAGCTCGGCACTTCTAGCTTATGGGTGCTGATATTTTATGTCTGTCTGTCAGCAAGACAAACTACCAAGTCAAGCTTGGTGGACAGGTGAAGCAAATCCAGATCACTTTTATTTTAAATTCAAAAACGGATCGTTGGCTTTAGTGGAGAATGGAGTCTCTGGCCAACTTTCTAGTTTACTTAAAAATGGTCATCCAGCCTTTATTTTAATAATATTACTTATAAAAAATTCTCATTTTGGAGCATATTCCCTTTTAAACCTGTCTGACTGAACTCACAGACCAAAGTTTCAGCATTCTGGTACTTCATCTGCTTTATTGTCCCAGCTGGTTACTGCTCTATCTGCCAGCCACCGGTGAACAACAGAACACCATGACTACTGCAGTAAACAAGCTTTAAGAAGCTCTTTGTATAAGCGGGCACACAAACACTCACAGTGCAGAGAAATATAGGAAGTAGAGGGTAACACGGCAGAAAGCTTATGTGTTTTTTAAAAGGAAGGTAAGCATTACAGTCACAATGCCCCCCATTTTAAATTTCATAGTTAATATTCTTGGATTTGGTAGGTTTTTTTTAATTAAATTCTGATAGTTTTTTTTTCTTACTTTTTAATGCATCTTTTCTAAAACTTTTTTAGGAGCAGACACCAAAGATTCAGAACATCGGGTGATGCCAGTGATCCAGGAACCAGCAGACAAAATGTTCTTTGAAAATGCCAGCCTGCAGCAACCGCGTCGCCACCACGAATTCTTTCTGCGCAGTAGACCCTACAGGGGCGAACCACCAACAGTGGCAGGTAAAGTCCTGCTGCTCCTTCATACCAGCAACAGATAAAGTTACTTATGCTCTCAAATCCTCCACTGTCAGCTTTAATCATCTAAATTAGTGTTTGTAAAAAAAGCTCAGTGGCAAAGGAAAAAAAGAAAGAAAGTTCAAACACTGAAAAGAGTAAAACAGAAATAGAAACAATGTCCTAGTCAAGAAATAACAAAAGGATTCAAAATTACCGTCATTATTTCTGATCTCGCTTTAATCTCGGTGCACATCACTAAATAAGCAGACAGAAATAAAACTTTGTTTTGTTGTCACAAAAATCAGGTCTGTGTGAATGATTAATTGTCACTGCCATTACGCGTATTTTATAGAATTTATATGCAAAGTAAACAAGCTGTGAAAAAGAGACCTACCTGGAAAGATTTCAGAAACTGTGAACAGCGTTGGGCTACATGTTCTGTGCTAACTGGAATCACTCCAAAGTAGTGGGTTAAAAAAGGGGAACAAGAGTCAACAGTCTACGTTTCACCCTTTTTAGGATTCCTCCTCTACCCGGACACACCTGCTAAGATGGAGACCACATCACGTGAGGCTTTCTGCTTCAGGCCTATCCCAGACCAAGATCCAGGCAAAGGTCAACAGACTTGGCTCACCCTAGAGAGTAAACTCATCATGTCTGTATAAAGATAAGACTCATTTATGATGGCACAGTGCACGCAAGGCTGTGGCTTTCTGTTCAGTGCACGTGTGTGTCTTGGAAATGGTTTGGGCAGTGTGCTATGAGTGAGAAGGCAGAGATGGTAGAGATTATAAAGGTGATTTTGTGATTAAAACTTAGATTAAAAAAACCCTACACTGCCATTAAACTGAAAAACACTGTAATAAAGTATTTAATACCTCAAATAGAACATAAGAAAGACCATATAAGGTTAAATGTGAAAATGCTGTTATAGACACAGAGCATGTGGAGGAGTGATATTGTTTTCTCTGCTGTGCAGTGAAATTCCTGCCACTCTTACTCACAGACACAGGATTGGATTGCCCTCAGCAGTAATTATTTGTGTATGTGTTCCCGTGTCCTTCACACAGCTCTGCGACATCCAAAGCAAATGATTTATATCCATAAGAACATTTCATCTCATTTATGTATAAAGTATTATTCTCTCAAGATTAAAATGAAAAAAGCAAATAGTGTAATATATTTAGTAAGAAAGTTTATTTGTGGAAAGTGTGATTACTGTTGATGAAATTCTGCCTTTAGCAAAGTTCTGATTACCCTTCAGCAGGCTGTAACACACAACAGGAATCTCACCATTCTCCTCCTGCATCCTCATGATAAACAGGAAGAGGAAACAGACGCGAGGACAGAGAAGTGAGAGGGAATGAGCAAGAAGGCAACCGTGATCACATGTCAGCAGCAGCAAAAAACGAACAGGAAACAGCCCAGATGCAGTCTCAGTATCAGAAAGACTTCCCTCCCCCATCCTCCTGCCACAGGAGGCGGACACCTGCTTTCCCGCAGCCTGACAACATTGGCATCAATCCTGCGTTCAGGTGAGAGCAGGTTTATCATCATCACAGTGTCCTTCATGTAGGGAGCAGCTACGCTGTGTCTGCGTGCTCTGATTCTTCTGATTCACAGGATCAACTTCAGCACGGTCCAAAGAGAGACTTACCCAGGCTGGCCCATCGTGAATGTCGGGTACGGTGGAAGGCAAAGACCAGCTAAGCATGACTTCTAAGCGGCAGTGGAAATCATCTTGCATGTTTGCATACATGCATGATTAATATTAAATGTCAAAGTCATATTTAACAAATGCTTAAAATTTGTCTTGTCCCAGCATGTATTCCCAATAATCAAACAGTAATAAACACAAACCAGTGGAAAAAAGCCTCAGTTTTCAGTGTGTTTGACGTATATGTGTTTGCACTAACTAACTAAATTTTTTTTTATATATATAATTACACCATAATCAATAGCATAGATAGTGACAGATTAAAGGCAATAGCATTGTTGTGTTATTAAGCCATTGGTCTAGCATGTGCAACCAGGACACCGATTCCTTGATTCTACAAATCATTCTTCCATAATTCTTTTTGATAGTGCTGGTGGAAAGTGCCTTAAAACTTTTACAGATGTTAGACTGAATCGGACATTACTAGAAAAAATATTAGAGCCCAACCTGATTCCCTCACTGTGAGTCACATCATCCTGTCAGTGTATGCACTCCCTGATTAATATGGCAAGGAATGGCTTATTTGAATGCCGCTTTTTTCACATCTCTGTAGGCCAGTCTTTTTTTAGCTACACCACAGAACTCTCAAATGTGCATTTATCTTGTACACAAAACCCTCACAGCTATACCATACCATCGACAGTCAGCTGTGGACACTCTCTTTCAGCATTTGGTTGCTGTGCACTACGTTTCATTTTGGAGTCATGAGGGACATGTCTCTATTTCTATGTCCAGGACCAAAATATGTTGGTTGTAACAAGCGGTTATTTGAGTTACTGTTGCCTAATAAAATGGGTGGTAAGTGTATAAAATTATCTAAAAAGACTGAATGTCAAATGCTATCCAAGTTACAGGTGCCTGAACACTCTTGGGACAATGCATTACAAAAACATTCTTTAATAAAACACTGAAACCACAGCAGCTTCTGCTCCACGGTGAATAACTTCTTACAAAAATTGTGAACATGCTTCACTTCATTTTTCTGTACAGTTCCATCTGATACACATGGTACAGTATCAAAAGGGTTTGGAAAGGTGAAACAAATTCTTCTATGTAGTTTATTTAAAAAAGAACTTTTGCTGCGTAGATGCATCTAGTCTTGTTGTTCTAACAGCATAAAAATTATACATAAAGGTTGAGCAGGTGTGCTCTTTAGCTCTGCTCCAGATTCATCATTTTCTGAAAGCCTTTACATATCCTCCACACTCCATTTATAGGCCGCTTCCTGCACAGCCTTTTTATCTGCCATCCTCTGGTAGCGTTTCTGTTCAAAACCATTTGACCTGCAAGACACAAATAAAATAACCCTATTAATTATGATACAACAAGCTAAAAGGCCAAAGACAATCCATTCAATTAGGCGCAAATTTAATATAGACGTGGAAAAAAATGATCACAATTTCTTTACCATTAATGTGCAAAATGACAAACTGATGTGTGTATTAAAAACATTCAATATTAAACTACAGTTCTGTCCTCAACAGTTTTCCTCTGTCACCGATGCACAAACTCTACCTGTCAACTCCATCCCAGCGGTACCCCGGTGGAATATTGAACCGGTTTGGAGGTGGAGCAGGGCCTTTATATCGAGGTTTCTCTACAAAAAATCAAAACAAACATACAAATAAATAAAAATACAAACAGTAGCAAAAACAAAACTGCTGCTATTTAAAAGCAGAGTCAGAGTCTGAGCCCCGTTTAGTTTTTGAGGGCCTCCTTGGGGGAGATTGGTCGGAGTCTGAGGCGTTTCCCTTCAGGGGCCTTTTTCTCGAGGGAGACGGATCCGAGTCTGAATCATGTCTATTCTGACCCTTCTTAGCCACCGCTGACCGATGAGGATCCGGTGAGCGTTTTTTACTTAACAAGGATGAGCTGAGCTTGCTTTTGTTGGAGGCTGAATCTGACAAAGACACAGTTAATTTGTTAATTTTCATTTTGTAATGCCTTTTGAACAAAAATTAAAGATTTATTATTAGATCAAGGTATGTCTTTAAAAGAAATTTCCATTCAAAACTCATGTTAAATGGGTCTCTGCTTTTTACTTTTATTCATATGCCACACCAGATTCCACTTTACAATTTAAATGGATCACTCACCTTTACTTTGCATTTTTTCTGACTTTCCTGAACACTGTCTTGGTGGTGACAAGTCTGGGGAGTCATGGCGTCTTCTCTTGGGAGGAGAGACATCTGGAGAGTCGTGAGGTCTTCTCTTGGGAGGAGAGACATCTGGAGAGTCGTGAGGTCTTCTCTTGGGAGGAGAGACATCTGGAGAGTCGTGAGGTCTTCTCTTGGGAGGAGAGACATCTGGAGAGTCGTGAGGTCTTCTCTTGGGAGGAGAGACATCTGGAGAGTCGTGAGGTCTTCTCTTGGGAGGAGAGACATCTGGAGAGTCGTGAGGTCTTCTCTTGGGAGGAGAGACATCTGGAGAGTCATGAGTCTTCTCTTGGGAGGAGAGACATCTGGAGAGTCATGGCGTCTTCTCTTGGGAGGAGAGACATCTGGAGAGTCGTGAGGTCTTCTCTTGGGAGGAGAGACATCTGGAGAGTCGTGAGGTCTTCTCTTGGGAGGAGAGACATCTGGAGAGTCGTGAGGTCTTCTCTTGGGAGGAGAGACATCTGGAGAGTCGTGAGGTCTTCTCTTGGGAGGAGAGACATCTGGAGAGTCATGGCGTCTTCTCTTGGGAGGAGAGACATCTGGAGAGTCGTGAGGTCTTCTCTTGGGAGGAGAGACATCTGGAGAGTCGTGAGGTCTTCTCTTGGGAGGAGAGACATCTGGAGAGTCGTGGTCTTCTCTTGGGAGGAGAGACATCTGGAGAGTCATGGCGTCTTCTCTTGGGAGGAGAGACATCTGGAGAGTCATGGCGTCTAGATCAACTGGCGTTAGTCGAACAGATGTGTGGCAGACTTCCGTTTCAGGAGCTGCTACCTACAGACCAGCAAAAAAACGCCAAATGTGTCATCTGTGACATTTGTGAGGTTATCTCAAACACACTCCGTCAGTCTTGATGCTGTTGAACAACAAAATGTTTAAAAATGTGGCGAGTTTACCTGGTGATATCCTTCTAACAGCATAACAATTATACATAAAGGTTGAGCAGGTGTGCTCTTTAGCTCTGCTCCAGATTCATCATTTTCTGAAAGCCTTTACATATCCTCCACACTCCATTTATAGGCCGCTTCCTGCACAGCCTTTTTATCTGCCATCCTCTGGTAGCGTTTCTGTTCAAAACCATTTGACCTGCAAGACACAAATAAAATAACCCTATTAATTATGATACAACAAGCTAAAAGGCCAAAGACAATCCATTCAATTAGGCGCAAATTTAATATAGACGTGGAAAAAAATGATCACAATTTCTTTACCATTAATGTGCAAAATGACAAACTGATGTGTGTATTAAAAACATTCAATATTAAACTACAGTTCTGTCCTCAACAGTTTTCCTCTGTCACCGATGCACAAACTCTACCTGTCAACTCCATCCCAGCGGTACCCCGGTGGAATATTGAACCGGTTTGGAGGTGGAGCAGGGCCTTTATATCGAGGTTTCTCTACAAAAAATCAAAACAAACATACAAATAAATAAAAATACAAACAGTAGCAAAAACAAAACTGCTGCTATTTAAAAGCTTCTTACAAGGATTGACCTGGTGAAATAAAATAAAGTCATAAATAAAATAAAACATATGTAATGTTAAACACCTTGTGTTTTTGTGCCACGGTCCTTTTTACGCCTGAGCATTGCAGCCATACGATCGCCTTCTCTTTCCTGTTCTCTCAACATGCGGTCAAGATCCTCATCGTAACGTGCCAGTGGCTTAAGGGCTTCGCGCAGCACGTCCGCAAGTTTCTGCTGATGCATCCGGATCGCTGCCAACCTATGTAATTATTAGACTACCGTATTTCCCGGACTACAAAGCGCACCTGAATATTAGCCGCACAAGCTAAAATCAGGGGAAAATCCTGTTTTGTACATACATTAGCCGCACCTGACCAAAAGCCGCAGGTGTTTCAATGTTGACTTATCATATGTAAGAGAATATGCACAAAGCGAATTGTCAGGAAAGAGATGGCTGTTTGGAGACACACCCACTTTTATTAATATTTTGAAAAACAAGTTATGGGTACATATTTGCACATTTGTAGCTATACGTCGACTGTCTGTCATAAATCGAGTAACAAATGTAGTACATAACAGATAACCTACAGCACACCAGAAAAATAGATTCGACTACCTTTTAGGCTCAGGTGCAGTGACACTGCTTTAACAAGAAGAAAAGTCAGTCATTCACCACCACTCTTTGCGCACTAAAACCACCAAAGTCCTCTTCTCCAGTGTCGGATACGAAACAGGCTCAGGGTGGCTTCGTCATCCACTCTCAGCTTCTTTCCTTCGTTGTCACTTTCAAAACCAAAGAAATCCTCGTTGTCAGTGTCAGAGTCGAACACCCTCAGAAGGGCCGTGGCGGTGTCCTCCTCTCCATCATGCAGCAGTCCAGCCCTTCGAAATCCGTTGGTGATCATGGATGTTTTCACACTTTTCCACGCTGTCAGAATTCCACCGGTGGAGTTGAGCATACTTGCTTTTCGCAAGTTTATGCCGCTCGTCATCACGCCTCCGGCTGAACGCGTAGCGCTACTTTGAAGTTTGTTTTTCGCGCTACTTGTACGGCACTATGTTGCCTGGCGGATGGACATGTGACCAACATACCACTCTTGAACCCCGATACTGTGTGTCTGATCACATGCCCTTCCGCCAGGCAACGTAGTGCCGTACAACAGCGGAACAAACAAAACAAATCGTCTTACGATATGACAAAAATCATGGACAATCCATAGAAAAGCCGCACCTGACTAAAAGCCGCAGGGTTCAAAGCTTGTGCAAAAAGTAGCAGCTTATAGCCCGACAATTACGGTAAATAAAATACGACAATATAGATGATAAGCTGAAATGAGATGCAAAGCTGTACGAAGCTCTTCCATCAATGGGTGTAAAAATATCTTAAGAGAGAAAAGTTGATGAAACCTTCAAGTGGCTGATTGTGTTTTTCTCTGCGTCTGTTCTCCTCTTTCTCTTTCCTTAAATGTCCACAGAAACCAGGCCTGCCTTTCCACCAGATAGCATCCTTTGGCCCTGGTTATAAAAAAAAAAAGACAATGAAAAATATAATAACATTTGAGTGAAATCAGATTTGACATTAATCTTTGTTCCAACACAGTCTGCTTACCTGTGACTGGCCTGGCCTACGAGGTGGTGACAAATCTCCATCCGAGTCCCTTCCACTCAGTGGCCGCACTCTGGGTGGAGACTGGTCAGAGTCTGAGCCCCGTTTAGTTTTTGAGGGCCTCCTTGGGGGAGATTGGTCGGAGTCTGAGGCGTTTCCCTTCAGGGGCCTTTTTCTCGAGGGAGACGGATCCGAGTCTGAATCATGTCTATTCTGACCCTTCTTAGCCACCGCTGACCGATGAGGATCCGGTGAGCGTTTTTTACTTAACAAGGATGAGCTGAGCTTGCTTTTGTTGGAGGCTGAATCTGACAAAGACACAGTTAATTTGTTAATTTTCATTTTGTAATGCCTTTTGAACAAAAATTAAAGATTTATTATTAGATCAAGGTATGTCTTTAAAAGAAATTTCCATTCAAAACTCATGTTAAATGGGTCTCTGCTTTTTACTTTTATTCATATGCCACACCAGATTCCACTTTACAATTTAAATGGATCACTCACCTTTACTTTGCATTTTTTCTGACTTTCCTGAACACTGTCTTGGTGGTGACAAGTCTGGGGAGTCATGGCGTCTTCTCTTGGGAGGAGAGACATCTGGAGAGTCGTGAGGTCTTCTCTTGGGAGGAGAGACATCTGGAGAGTCGTGAGGTCTTCTCTTGGGAGGAGAGACATCTGGAGAGTCTGAGGTCTTCTCTTGGGAGGAGAGACATCTGGAGAGTCGTGAGGTCTTCTCTTGGGAGGAGAGACATCTGGAGAGTCGTGAGGTCTTCTCTTGGGAGGAGAGACATCTGGAGAGTCGTGAGGTCTTCTCTTGGGAGGAGAGACATCTGGAGAGTCGTGAGGTCTTCTCTTGAGGAGAGACATCTGGAGAGTCGTGGGTCTTCTCTTGGGAGGAGAGACATCTGGAAGTCGGATTCTGGGATCTGAGGTCATCTTCTTGGGAGGAGAGACATCTGGAGAGTCGTGAGGTCTTCTCTTGGGAGGAGAGACATCTGGAGAGTCGTGAGGTCTTCTCTTGGGAGGAGAGACATCTGGAGAGTCGTGAGGTCTGTCCTTGGGAGGAGAGACATCTGGAGAGTCTGGTCTTCTCTTGGGAGGAGAGACATCTGGAGAGTCGTGAGGTCTTCTCTTGGGAGGAGAGACATCTGGAGAGCGTAGGTCAGTGGAAGAACTCAGAGTCCGTCTTCTCTTGGGAGGAGAGACATCTGGAGAGTCGTGAGGTCTTCTCTTGGGAGGAGAGACATCTGGAGAGTCGTGAGGTCTTCTCTTGGGAGGAGAGACATCTGGAGAGTCGTGAGGTCTTCTCTTGGGAGGAGAGACATCTGGAGAGTCAGGCTCTTTTGAGGAGATCTGGGATCGTCTCTCTTGGAGAGAGACGAGGAGTAGTCCTGTGAGGAGAGACATCTGGAGAGTCGTGAGGTCTAGATCAACTGGCGTTAGTCGAACAGATGTGTGGCAGACTTCCGTTTCAGGAGCTGCTACCTACAGACCAGCAAAAAAACGCCAAATGTGTCATCTGTGACATTTGTGAGGTTATCTCAAACACACTCCGTCAGTCTTGATGCTGTTGAACAACAAAATGTTTAAAAATGTGGCGAGTTTACCTGGTGATATCCTTCTAACAGCATAACAATTATACATAAAGGTTGAGCAGGTGTGCTCTTTAGCTCTGCTCCAGATTCATCATTTTCTGAAAGCCTTTACATATCCTCCACACTCCATTTATAGGCCGCTTCCTGCACAGCCTTTTTATCTGCCATCCTCTGGTAGCGTTTCTGTTCAAAACCATTTGACCTGCAAGACACAAATAAAATAACCCTATTAATTATGATACAACAAGCTAAAAGGCCAAAGACAATCCATTCAATTAGGCGCAAATTTAATATAGACGTGGAAAAAAATGATCACAATTTCTTTACCATTAATGTGCAAAATGACAAACTGATGTGTGTATTAAAAACATTCAATATTAAACTACAGTTCTGTCCTCAACAGTTTTCCTCTGTCACCGATGCACAAACTCTACCTGTCAACTCCATCCCAGCGGTACCCCGGTGGAATATTGAACCGGTTTGGAGGTGGAGCAGGGCCTTTATATCGAGGTTTCTCTACAAAAAATCAAAACAAACATACAAATAAATAAAAATACAAACAGTAGCAAGGATTGACCTGGTGAAATAAAATAAAGTCATAAATAAAATAAAACATATGTAATGTTAAACACCTTGTGTTTTTGTGCCACGGTCCTTTTTACGCCTGAGCATTGCAGCCATACGATCGCCTTCTCTTTCCTGTTCTCTCAACATGCGGTCAAGATCCTCATCGTAACGTGCCAGTGGCTTAAGGGCTTCGCGCAGCACGTCCGCAAGTTTCTGCTGATACATCCGGATCGCTGCCAACCTATGTAATTCTAGGACTAAATAAAATACGACAATATAGATGATAAGCTGAAATGAGATGCAAAGCTGTACGAAGCTCTTCCATCAATGGGTGTAAAAATATCTTAAGAGAGAAAAGTTGATGAAACCTTCAAGTGGCTGATTGTGTTTTTCTCTGCGTCTGTTCTCCTCTTTCTCTTTCCTTAAAATGTCCACAGAAACCAGGCCTGCCTTTCCACCAGATAGCATCCTTTGGCCCTGGTTATAAAAAAAAAAAGACAATGAAAAATATAATAACATTTGAGTGAAATCAGATTTGACATTAATCTTTGTTCCAACACAGTCTGCTTACCTGTGACTGGCCTGGCCTACGAGGTGGTGACAAATGTCCATCCGAGTCCCTTCCACTCAGTGGCCGCACTCTGGGTGGAGACTGGTCAGAGTCTGAGCCCCGTTTAGTTTTTGAGGGCCTCCTTGGGGGAGATTGGTCGGAGTCTGAGGCGTTTCCCTTCAGGGGCCTTTTTCTCGAGGGAGACGGATCCGAGTCTGAATCATGTCTATTCTGACCCTTCTTAGCCACCGCTGACCGATGAGGATCCGGTGAGCGTTTTTTACTTAACAAGGATGAGCTGAGCTTGCTTTTGTTGGAGGCTGAATCTGACAAAGACACAGTTAATTTGTTAATTTTCATTTTGTAATGCCTTTTGAACAAAAATTAAAGATTTATTATTAGATCAAGGTATGTCTTTAAAAGAAATTTCCATTCAAAACTCATGTTAAATGGGTCTCTGCTTTTTACTTTTATTCATATGCCACACCAGATTCCACTTTACAATTTAAATGGATCACTCACCTTTACTTTGCATTTTTTCTGACTTTCCTGAACACTGTCTTGGTGGTGACAAGTCTGGGGAGTCATGGCGTCTTCTCTTGGGAGGAGAGACATCTGGAGAGTCGTGAGGTCTTCTCTTGGGAGGAGAGACATCTGGAGAGTCGTGAGGTCTTCTCTTGGGAGGAGAGACATCTGGAGAGTCATGGCGTCTTCTCTTGGGAGGAGAGACATCTGGAGAGTCGTGAGCGTCTTCTCTTGGGAGGAGAGACATCTGGAGAGTCGTGAGGTCTTCTCTTGGGAGGAGAGACATCTGGAGAGTCGTGAGGTCTTCTCTTGGGAGGAGAGACATCTGGAGAGTCGTGAGGTCTTCTCTTGGGAGGAGAGACATCTGGAGAGTCGTGAGGTCTTCTCTTGGGAGGAGAGACATCTGGAGAGTCGTGAGGTCTTCTCTTGGGAGGAGAGACATCTGGAGAGTCGTGAGGTCTTCTCTTGGGAGGAGAGACATCTGGAGAGTCGTGAGGTCTTCTCTTGGGAGGAGAGACATCTGGAGAGTCGTGAGGTCTTCTCTTGGGAGGAGAGACATCTGGAGAGTCGTGAGGTCTTCTCTTGGGAGGAGAGACATCTGGAGAGTCGTGAGGTCTTCTCTTGGGAGGAGAGACATCTGGAGAGTCGTGAGGTCTTCTCTTGGGAGGAGAGACATCTGGAGAGTCGTGAGGTCTTCTCTTGGGAGGAGAGACATCTGGAGAGTCGTGAGGTCTTCTCTTGGGAGGAGAGACATCTGGAGAGTCGTGAGGTCTAGTCCTGGGAGGAGAGACATCTGGAGAGTCGTGAGGTCTTCTCTTGGTGGTGACAAGTCTGGGGAGTCATGGCGTCTTCTCTTGGGAGGAGAGACATCTGGAGAGTCATGAGGTCTTCTCTTGGGAGGAGAGACATCTGGAGAGTCATGAGGTCTTCTCTTGGGAGGAGAGACATCAGAAGAGTCATGGCGTCTTCTCTTGGGAGGAGAGACATCTGGAGAGTCGTGAGGTCTTCTCTTGGGAGGAGAGACATCTGGAGAGTCATGGCGTCTTCTCTTGGGAGGAGAGACATCTGGAGAGTCATGGCGTCTAGATCAACTGGCGTTAGTCGAACAGATGTGTGGCAGACTTCCGTTTCAGGAGCTGCTACCTACAGACCAGCAAAAAAACGCCAAATGTGTCATCTGTGACATTTGTGAGGTTATCTCAAACACACTCCGTCAGTCTTGATGCTGTTGAACAACAAAATGTTTAAAAATGTGGCGAATTTACTTGGTGATATCCTTCTAACAGCATAACAATTATACATAAAGGTTGAGCAGGTGTGCTCTTTAGCTCTGCTCCAGATTCATCATTTTCTGAAAGCCTTTACATATCCTCCACA